TAGAATACAGTAATAAAGGTTAACTGACGCCGTACGTTACGAGCCTTAAGCTATCTGAGAAAGGGTTGTCGGAGAGTTTCTTTTCAACAGTCTGGATATTAGTATGGCACCCTTTGGGTGACATGCGACGCATTCACTCTCAGATCATAGTCTCTAGTGCGATATTGGTTGCAAACATCCATAAAAAACAGTTCTTCCGTAAAAGACAGAAAACAAACTTCAAACCTTTTTGCCCCGTGGGCCCATAAGTCAAAGGAAGCTTTTCTGGAGAAAAGAGTGTCGTTAACTCCCAGTTCTACCACAAACGGTAACGCTTAAGTCTCCAAGGGTCGAGTTGCGTGCGCCAAACTGCTGGACATGTTTGTTAACCCTACTCGAAAAAACAGATGAATCTGAATCCCCGTAATCCGTATTATCCTGAACTACGTAAGCTCTGATCTCTCATATATGTTGAGAGTATGTAGGCACAATACTGATGTATTGGCGAGCCACCTTCCCCGTAACCCGTAGTTAGCCAAACTACGTTGACTCTGATTTATCATTCTCTGATGAGAATACGTAGGCATAAAGTGCGACGCTTTGCCGAGTCATTTTCTTTTCTTTTTCAAGCCAGCCTTGATAGGTAGATAGATAAAACCGACCCGTCAGATAAACACAACAAGCGTGGATCCCATCGAGTACGATGGACGTGAGGGGTGCTAATACCTTCCCCTTGCATAACCGACTCCCGAACCCAGACAATAGTTGCGATGACCTTGTCTTATACCTTTTCGTCAGGTTTTTTCCGATCGTTTCCTTTCCCGTTCTGAGGGATAAATAACGAAAGGTGACGACTCTTCTGTTTTGCCGGCACCTTATTTTCGCGGTAGCGACAGCCCGATACCAGATGGGAACTTTGAATTGATCACTTTCAAGGACAATCTCAACAGAGGAGTTAAGATAGGTGCAGGACTGCCCGAAGAGGTGAAAGAGCAGCTGAAGATATGCCTAAGAGATAACGCATATTTGTTTTCCTGGAGCGCCGCAGACATGCCCGACCTCGACTTGGAAATTTCTTACCATCAGCTCACCATCAACCCATCAGCTCGAGTAGTAGCATAGCGCAGGCGCAAACAATTCGACGAGAAGACTGAAGCGGCGGAAAAGCTTGTAAAAGACCTCTTAGAGGTGAAATTCATTTCGGAAGCCAGGTATACAACCTGGTTGTCCAATATTGTATTAGTTTAAAAATATAATGGAAAGTGGAGGATGTGAATTGACTACACCGATCTCAGTCGGGTTTGCCCGAAAGACGTTTATCCTTTGCCTAACATTGATAAGTTAGTAGATAATTCTACCGGTTTCAAACTCTTGACCTTCATGGATGCATACTCGGGATATAACCAAATTCCCATGGCAGAGAAGGACAAGAGGTACACCGCTTTCATGACCTCGTCGGGCAACTATTACTACAACGTAATGCCCTTCAACGTAATGCCCTTCAGTCTGAAAAAACGTTGGGGCCACGTATCAGCAAATGATGAACAAAGTCTTCTGATCACAAATCGAAGATACGTTCGAAGTATATATATGGACGACATGATCGTGAGATTCCAATAGGAATTCGATCATATGATCCACTTGCAAAAAGTCTTCGACCAAGCAAGGAAGTGCAAAATGCGATTTAACTCAAAAGATGCACCTTCGGTGTGCGAGCGGGAAAATTCCTCGGCTTCTACCTCACTGAGAAGGGGATCGAGGCCAACCCTGACAAAGTCAAGCGTTTTCGGAGTTCCCCATGCCAAAGTTGAATAATTCCATACAATCCCTCAATGGGATGCTTACCTTGTTATCTTGCTTCGTGGCCAAGTCTGCCCAACACGCTCCTTTCTTCTTTAAGCTTCTGCGAAAAAAGGCAATGTTTGAATGGACAAAGGAATGTGAGCAGGTCCTGCGCCATCTTAAGCAAGCCCTGCCTGAACCACCAGTTATGTCACGACCAGATAACGGGGAAACATTCTACCTATATCTCTTTGTCACTAACAAAGCCATAAGTACTTCCCTCATTCGAGAAACCCTCGACGAGCAAAAGCCAATATATTTCACAAGCAAGGCCTTGCAAGGGCAAGAACTTAGATACCAGCAGATCTAAAAGGTCGCCCTAGCCCTCATCAATGTTGCTAGAAGATTAAGGAATTACTTCCTGGCCTAGACGATAGTGGTACGGATAGACCAACCCATAAGGCACCTTCTCGGCCGACCAAATATGGCTGGTAGGATGCTCAAATGGTCTCTAGAACTGTCAGAGTTTGATATCCACTACGAAAGCAAGAAGGCCCTTAAGGCACAAGTTCTTGCTGACTTCGTGGCGGAAATAACGCTCCGGTGTCCACATCTAGTGGAGCGCACAAGTGGACCATTTTCGTCGACGGAGCTTCCAGATCCACGGGCAGAGGAGCAGGCATCTTCCTCGAAAACAAAGAGTGGATCCTAATCGAAGTTTCGTTGGTCTTGTCTTTCACAACTGTCATACCCCAAATTTGTCCTACATGTGTATAGCTTTCATCTGTACATCCACCCACCAACTATTATTCAAAAATTAAAAAAAAAATGTGGCAAGGATGAATTAAGGTTCATTGGAGATACATCAAGTCAAGAGTAAGTGCAGTATGTGTTGAGGTTCATTTATAGTTTTAACCTAATGGATTAGTCAGACAAGATAGTGCTTCATGATCAGGTCAGGGCATGTTTCTTGCTCAAAAAGGTTCAGTGAAAGTTTTTTTTTCAAGATCCAAGTGGTTATCAGTTCAAGATTTCTTGGTGATTAATTCATGGTTGACTTATTCTCTCGAATTCAGTTTAAGGGCTCAAGTTCATCCGAAGTTCAGTATAAAATCAAGATTTCAAGTCTAAATTCATTTCATTTGACTTTCATGTCCAAAGTCAAACATCCATTTTAACCAATTTTAGTCCACATCCAAACATCTAACCAAATCCATTAATTTCCATTGTTAATTAAGATCATGATCCATTTTTTCCCCATTATCCATACCATATTCACAAAATCATAGTTACAATCCAAAAGGTCCATCTTTTTTATTATTATTTCGTAAAAGTCTTGTTCATATCACACAAAAAAAATAGGTTAGGCCCATTACCTAAAAAAATCCATTAAAAAAAAACACAAAGTCCATACTCTACAAAGCCCATATTACAACTTTTTTTCAAAGCCATAGATTTTCCAACATACACACACATGACATAACACCTCACACCACAAATTTCCATGTGCCACATGACTTGTACCCATCTACCATTTGATCAATTTCACTACGCCCCATTTTCACCTGCAACAACACCCTGCATAATTTCAAATAAAACAAAACCACAAGCCTTATGCCACAAAGAAAATCATGAGCTTTTTACACTATACGGTCAGCCATGAAAAGATGAAGCCACATGATCCGCATATCCACCACACACACTAGCCAAAATCCGCGCCCAACCATGAGCACACAACTCTTTCACCTACAAAACAAACCAACACAACGCAGCCATATGAAAAAACAACTTTAAGACCAACAATTTCCAAACCGTTACCCCATAACTTGTGAAGTCACAGCAAAATCGCTACATGTACGAGCTTTAAAACAAACGGAAGTGACGAAAACGACATTACGTAACGTCACCAATTCACCCTGACTTCCTCCTATAAATCCACTATTCTCCTCATTCGCAAAGGGACCCGAAAGAAGCTCTCAACCACTTACCCGAAAACTCAAATCACCCAACCTTAACCTTCACCTTCTTCCTTTCAACCATCAATAATGAAACACATTCATGAACCACACAAACCCCAGAACCACCTTCAATACAACCCAATCGATTCAAAAGCAAAAATGAGAGAGATGAAAAAGAAAAGAGGTTGATTAACGAAAGCGAAGCGAAGTCGAAAACGAATCTTACCCGAGGCGGAGCTAAGCGAAGCACGAAATGGAGGATTAGAGAGACGGATTGATTCGTGAGAAGGAGGCTGGGATTTGATCTCGTTGTCTCTGATTTCCTGTTTTCGCAAGGTTTTCGTGTTTTCAACCTTATTACATTAAGGAGCGTGTCTAATGAATGACTATGTTGTTGTTTTTGAGAAATTGAAATTTTAACATGTGTTGGTGCTTTTCAAAACCTGGTGGTTTCTCTCTAACCGAGTCATGTTCATCAATGAGGCTTGACCCATGTTTTTGTTTTTTTTATCGTTGTAGCATATGGCCTTTGAGGTCCAATTTGTTTTTGTTTTTTTATTGTTGTAACAACTAACTTTAATTTATGTCAATATATTCTTGTTTTAATTCCAATCAATATATCTTAATCTTATTATTATTCATATATTTGTTAATATTATATTGACTATACTATTATAGATATTATCTTGATTATTATTAATATTATCTTGTCGTTATTCATATTATTCATATTCTAGTTGGTTCGCTTTATTGTCAGTCATACTCTCTATCAATTCTTTTCTAAAAATCTCAAAGTTTGAATCCCACTAAGTGGGAACAATACTTATGTTGGACTATGTCCATAAAAAACTACTCTCAAGATCTCTTGAATCGCGCTAAGTGCAAACAATACTTATGTTGAATTATGTTTATACAAAATTTTGCTAACTTTTAAACATAACTTTTAAACAAGACCCTGCAAAGGGATGGTGGAATTGATCTCCTTAAATTATTTGGTCACACAAGTAAGGTTCTCAACTTTAATTCTCAAAATGTTAACTATCTATGAATTTATAATTCTTTTTTTTCATTCCAACCTCAAATTTTAGTCACACAAAAACTTCACATGTTAGATAGTAAATCATGAATTCAAGAAACATCCTGCAAAAGATGTATATCCTGAATCAAGTACTGATTACATCTATTTTTATACAAGGAAAACCTATAATACCTTTACATGATAATGAATGAAAAAATACTACCAAAAAAACACAAAAAATACACTAAATAAATCACTATTAGTTAGCTAGTAGTGATGTTACTATATGAGATTTTAAAAATAACTGAAATCGGAATGTTGACAGCATGACCTTGATTACCAAACAGTCCAATCTTCCCGAAGCTTGCAACAGAATTATTCGTGGTTGCATTCAAGATCACAGACAACACTTGTTTTTCACCATTTGCAATAGAAAAGTGAGTTGGAGTTACTTTCACCGAAACACCGAAAGGAGCATTCCAACCGACACTGTAAGTTTCGTTATTTCCAGCAATGTTTTGAACTGTTCTTTGCACAATTGTGGACTGGTTTAGCTTTGATAAAGTGATTGATGGCAAGTTTAGATCAGCACCATTTAGAGTGGAGTTATAAAGCAAACAATTTTGACCGGTGAAGTTTAGTACCACCGGAGCTGAACCATTGATGCCACATAAAAATGACATGTAATCATCGTAGCCTACAAAGAGACATGTTCGTTAATAACCGGTATATGTATATAATGAGAACTTTTATTGAAATGTGATTACTACTTACTAGTATCAAAGATCAAACCCGGGTTCAATGCTCCTGTTGCATTCACAAAACCGCTTCCCATGTCAAAAGGAGTAGCCGGAGTTTGGCTTAGATCTGGAAAGGCATATGATCGTTGAGCCATTATTGGTCCACCGCTTTTATCATTCTGAGAAGCAGTAGTAGAAAGGGCGGAACCGATGGCTGCAGGACTGAAATTCGGAAACTTTTGCTTAATCAGCGCAGCAAGACCTGCAATATGTGGTGCAGCCATACTTGTGCCCGACATCATAGCAAAATCCTCCCCTGATAAGAATGCAAATAAAATATTTAATTTCATATTATCATGTTTGTTTCACGATTAAATAAATCATGTTTTTACGAACCTTGAAATTCAACCGAGTCAGTTCCAAGAGAACTCCAAGCTGCCCATATAAAGTTTCCAGGGGCTAACAAATTAGGTTTCAAAATATCAGCTTGGCGAGGAAGACTGTCCTCTGGATCTGGTCCTCTTGCAGAGTAATACATAACCTTTGGGGATGCAGCACTGTAGTTTGCTTTTAGTCCGCCACAGATTGCGGCAACAGCCCCAAATTTAACAACTTTCTTCGAAACCGCGTCTATTTCCAACGAAGAATTGTAGTATTGCATCAAAATCTGACCAGTTGAAACAAAAACAAAACTATCAGAAGGTCATTCCTCACATGTAAAAGAGGGATAACAATGGAGAAAGCACCTTTGAGTCATTTGTAGATGGAATTATTATGCCGGGTGTTTTCATTGCAACTGGGTTAAGCTGAAAACCGATCACATAAGGATCCATATAGAAGACAACACCAGCTGCACTATGATTCTTGGCTGTTTCTGAAGCTCGTTTGATAGTGGAAATGCCGAGCACAAATCGAATTGAATAGCTGCAGATCATAAGGTTCCCTTTGATCAAATCGCGATTGTACTTGCTTGCATCTTGGCACTCACCAACATACATATCATCAGCGACCGTTGTATCATTGTTTAAAGCATCACGCGCATGAATCAGTTTGTAAAGTTTGTTATCATCCGTGCCAGCTGGGAAAAATAATCAAAAGAAAAATAACAAAAATTGAAACCGTTCATTCCTCGACTAATTTGGAAATTGTATACCATGAACAGAAAAAACATAAACTTACGTGCAAGTCCAACTCCAAGTATGGTAACATTGTTTCCAAGACTTATGGAGTTACTATAAAGCCGGTCATGAGAGGCAGCACCAACAGTAAGGATCCATGGACTGAAAGAAGACATGCTCATCGGGGACGGCCCGGTATTTCCAGCAGCTTGAACCACAAAAATACCAGCCTTTACAGCTGACAGTAATGCCATGTCAATAGGATTGAAGAAAGTTGCAACACCGGGAGGACGCCGATTTGGAGTGATAGATAAACTAATTATGTCAACCCCATCTTGAGCTGCCTGTAAACAATCGTTCATATGTACTATTTTTATTAGACTTCACGGAAAAAGCGAAAAAATGGATGCAATTTCAGAAAAATGAGTCGTTAGTGCAACATAAAAGTTTATTTTTTTGCCCATAATAATAACTTATTCAATTCAATATCGATGTGGATTAAGTAATTAACAGTATATGTACCTGGTCAATTGCTGCAACAACGTCTGCAGCAAATCCTCCAAAGCTCTTGTATAACGCCTTGTACACCGCAATGCTGTACAAAATTGAAATGTAATTATGTAAAGATGAGATGAAGTAGAATAGAGAATGAATCTATAATGTCGTGTATAACTCTATATCCGGAAAATTGCTACAAGTGTTAAAAGTAATGATAATAATCATAGCATGAAAAACTAAATAACTTAGACATAGTTCCAGATTATTTACTGCGAACGAGGAGCCATCCCACTAGCATTCCCAAAGTGATGCCCAGCAACAATCACCGGAATCCCATGGTTTCCTGCTGCAACCGATGCGGTATGCCTATGTAATATACACATCAAATGGACAATTAGTCAAAGGAGAAGAAAATTCAACAGATCTTAATTTATGGCTTGCATAATCAAGTAAACATAACTAATTATGTTGCGATTGAGACCAGTTTGACAAAATTTTCATTTTCAAATGATGGATAAGAGCATCCGAGGCATCACAATTTCAGAACAACACCTCAAAGTTATTCTTTTTTATTCCAAAAAACTGGTGAAGCTCCAATGAACAAAACAAAACACCTTAAAGATCTCTAAACAACCATAAATAGAAACTAAACTTAATTCATCAATGTTAAAGTAGACAATGAATGGAATTGATAGAACAGACCAGTTAATTTAACAAGAACCGCTAAAATCAAACATAACACAAACTGATTTCGAAATGCCAAAAACTCACGTGCCATGGCCATCGCCATCAAAGGGAGAAGCGTAGTCTTGAGTCATGTTAAATATTCCTCTTGTTATAGCAGATGCTGCAAAATGACGGGCCCCAACAAGTTTTCTATTGCAAGAGCCAGATGGAAAATCTCGAGTAACCTCGCAGATACCAGAAAAATGAGCGGGAACAGGATATGGATGTTGAGATTTATTGTCGCCGAAACTAGGGTGTGATGGATCTATTCCAGTGTCAACAAACCCGATAACAACTCCTTCTCCAGCAGTATCAAAACCACCATTTTGAGACCATGCTCCTTGTGGCAGACCCAAAAATTGTGGAGTATGTGTAGTCGCTGTTCTAACGGAAAAATCCAAAACCACATTGGACACTTCATCGCTCTTTGATAGTCTCTCTGCCTTCATGAATCAGCAAATTCAAAAGTCAAGAATACATTTGTTAAAAGTAAATCAAAAAATAAATAAAATTGGTAGCAGTATTGAACTATATAACCCCGACACTTCTCATTAAAGGTGTGTACGTTGTCTGACATAACAAAGACACAAATTATTACTGGTGTTAATGTGTCAGGGTCATGTGTGTGTCATGTCTTCATAGGCGATGAAGCCAAATCATAAATAGGAAGAAAAAAAACAAACAACATGTATATAACATATACAAAACATGGACATAATCATGATGCTAAAAACTAACATTTCATACCTGCTGTTGGGTAACAAGAACAGCAAATCCATTAATCAGGTAATGGTAGCTATAGAGTTTCAAATATTTCTCTCCTTTCAACACTTTCTTCAACAAAGAATCGTGTACTCGCGTAACATAAGAGCCATATCTCTTATCTGTCTTTGTAATATTGCCATATCTATGGAAAAAGAGCAACAAAAACAACAATGGGTTTCATAAACAAGCTCAAAAGTCTTGAATTAGTAAGTAAATCAAACATGATGATGATGCAAAGTACTGAAAATTTGATAATATAATTAACAAATAAAATGACTCATTTCAAACATGAAATCCAACAACATATCATTTATAGATAATATAACCAATCATTTAACTAAAAATTATCATCTTAGCAAAATAGTGCATAGCTTCCACAAGAAGCCTAGTGATTTGGGATAAAAAAAAAACCCCAAAGAATTGAAAAAGCTAAAAACATCTTGATCTAAAAGAATTAAGAACAAACCATCCAAACCACACGCAACAAAATTATAAACCCCAAATAAAAAGTACTAAATAGGAGTATGTTAGAAGAACAATACCTTGGTTTCTGAAATTGAGTTCTTCCATTATCTTTGAAACCATTACTATCATCCTTCAACCATGTCAAAACACCATATGAATGAGAAGTTGGAGCTTGTTTCAAAGTAACCACATAAACAGAAGTAGTAGCATTATCCAGAACATCTTGCAGGCATAAACAAGGGACAAGAATCAACAAACTAAACAACACAAAATGTGTCAAATTATGATTCCCCATCAGGGTTTCAATGAAAACTGAAGAAGACAGAGTTGAATCCGAAGCAGCCCGAACAAGTATGAAGAAGAAGAAGAATAGTTCAGAAACCCACATGCACCATTGTCAAGTTCAAGACTTTGTAGCTTCTAAAGACTAAGAAAGCAATGTGATTTGTTTGAGAGAGATAGAGGTAAGAGAAATGGGAGAGTGATAAAGTAAGAGAGAGAGAGAGAGAGAGAGAGAGAGAGAGAGAGAGAGGTGTTTAGTTAAGTTAAGTTTGGAGAATCTAGAAGCAAAGGGTTGTGTTGTTGTGGTTGGGTTTTGTGAATTTGAACTTTTATTAATTAATGAAAGAAAAAGAAGAAGAAGAAAATAATGGAAGGAAAAAATGAACGTTTAATTTGGATTTATTCGTTTTTGGAATTTTTGGGGTCGTTGGTTGTCAACATTTGTATGTTGGTGTCTTCTCGTGACATGTGTAAATGATGACAACTACATTTTTATTTTATTTTATTTTTTTTCTGTTTGTACTCAGGTTTTTCTGTTCCTTCTTAATACTAGTATGTTGAAATGAATGTATTTTTCAACTTTTATTTTTTTTACAGAACTTTTTGAGTTTTATTAAACACGAACAAACTGGATTATATTTTGAGAAATTTTCGCATTATTATACAGTGCCGACACTCCTAAAGAAATTAAAAAAAATATCTGATACTGTATCTTTCTAATCATTTTTATTTGGTTTGGACATTACCTTCTTCTTTTCTAAACTTAACTATTTTAAATTAGTTCTTAAAAACAAATTAGATTAAATTAAGTTAAAAAAATTTATTTTTAAAATAAGTTAATCTTTATTATATATATATATATATATATATATATATATATATATATATATATATATATATATATATATATATATATATATATATATATATATATATTGATGTGGTGGTAAGAGATGTTACGGAGACAGTTGGGCATTGCTGATCTACAAGATTAATATTGCAATGTCAAAATCAGTTTTAAATAAAGGAGGATAGAGTGTGTTATGGATTAAAATTATTTTTTCCTGCTTAAGTTGTGGTATTTATGTAGTGAGCAAAATTGGGTCTTCCTTGTATTGGATCTGAAGCAAACTTAAAACATTTGCTCTGAACAAGGCATGTTATGGCGTCTTGCATGAAAAGTCTTCCAAGGAGCTAGGATTGGTACATCTAGTTGTGATATGGTGTTAAGAAGTGGAAAAGAACTGAAGATAACTTCATTAAATGTACATCTCATCATTGAGACGTTTTGCATGTTTTTTCGCATGTGGCTCTAGGTTTATAGGTTAAGGTGTGGCACTTCTACCTAAGCGCTCGAGCACACTCAAATGTGGTTACATTTTTTAGGTATCATTTCAACTGTAGATTTTTTACCTTCCATTTACTTTCATTCGTCATTGTTTATTCGTTTCATTTGTTTCGTTATATAATGGTTGCTTTGACTTTTCAAACAACTTTTTGTTCCTTCTCATCATTGACCTTAGTATTTCTGATAGTTCTCTTTCTTATTCTTCTTTAACATTCTAGTGGTGCACGTTTATTGCCATATTCATTTCTTGTTATGGTCTACGGATGTCAAGTTTTTCCTGCTCTAAGTAGTTTCTTCAATTCATCTCTTACTTAAGTATCTTTCTCAAACTCTTTCCATTTCATTTATTGTTTATCTTTTTTTAGCGTTTACCATGGCTAACTTATAAAATGTGCCTGAGAATATAAATAGAGCTGATAGAGAGGATTCTCCAATATCAGTGATTTTTGAGAATTTTAATAGAGAACCTCTAGAACTGAATGGTCTGAATCTCAAATTTATTGTACTGAGTGATGGTTCTAGGTCCGGAGAAGGTTTTGTTGAAAGTGGCGTCAGTCTTCTTAGTACATCTGAATGGGTGGAAAGGGAAACTCTTGTAATCCAACTTATATGGAAGTGGTTGCACGCCTCGTCTCCTCCCTCAAATCCTACAATGATCTGGACACGACCATAATAGCCCAGGATGAGCGACGGGCTCTCTTATATACTAATTCTTTTAGTGCAACACATAGTCGTGATCTTAGAGATATAGAACTTAGGGACCATCTTGTGTTTAGGAAAAATCGTGCAATTTTTTACTGGTGTTAGTTATCTTTTGCATGACAAGTGAGAAAAAAATGATAAAATGGGGATGTGTTAACTTGGTATCATTAGCAGATGTCGGGTTCGACCACTGGGTAGATCCAGAGTTTGTAGGCATAGATTTTGTCTTTGATAGCACATAAAAGGTGGAGAATACTCAAATAGAAGTCGGTTCTTCTTCTAAGTGGTATGTCTAACACATTGACGTTGGCAAAAGGATTTTGTAGCCTTTTGATAGATGATTCATCCTTTTCTACGAGTGTATCGTCACTCGGCTGATGTTCAGGATGCCCTTCAATGAGTTCAAAAAGGAGTTGTTGAATCACTGAATCTTGGTCATTCTCAACTACACACATCTGCTTGGACTTTTGCCAAGGTGTTTCAATATTTATGTGAGTACCGGGAGAAGGTGTCGTCCCTTGATATCAATCAGATATCATTCGTTAAATTATATAATATTATTATGACAATCGTGTATATTTGTTTTAAATAAAGTTGTTGATTTATAAATTTCAACAACTTTTTTACATTAATACATAAATATAAATAAATGTTGTCGGCAAAGATTGAACTCTAGACCAACAATTTATTCTCATTAACTCAACAAGCACATATTAGTTGAACTATTCCATCCACCCCAATTGTAACACCCTTCTACCCCACAAGCATTCACGATAATTAAAACAATTATATCAGAGTATATCACCGCAAGGGTGCCACATTTCGTCATAAAATTACATTAACGTCTTACTCTGTAATACGGGTTATGTCAACATAAGTTAAATCAAATACTACGCAGCGGAAAATCACATTTCAACATAAATTATAACTCAAAAGTCTTAAAATAAGAAATTCATAGCATCATGAGGTCGACAACAAAAAGAACAAAATGGTTCGACTCAAACATCCTGACCCGATGTTACATATCAGAGCAAGACCCTCTAATAAACAAAAATTACCAAAATACTTCAAGGCTAATTCTTCACGCACCAAAAGAGTTAATCCTGATCACCTGCATGTTACCCACGTGGAGGCAACATTCAAATAGGCAGGGTGAGTAATCACAAATCATTATACAAGATATAAAGATATATTACGATAACATTCATCATACAAAAACAACAATGTCATGAAATCCACACATCATCATTTAGCAAGTATTATACTCACACTTTCATATCATAATATCATATATACATCTTCATTCATAAAGTCATCAAATCAATAACTCATCAACAAAGCATCGCTCAAGTTACAACATCATCACACGTCATTTTAAGATCACCTCATCAATAATAACAATCATTCACATAGATGCAATGCCACATAATATGAAATACAATAACATAAACTCATGCATGTGGTACCAAATCAACATGTTGATGGACACTGGGGCATCACCCTCCAAAGATCCCCACGAATAAGATCGATTCTACATAAGAATTAGAGCACAACATAAACACCCCAATCCACACAATAGGATTAAATTCAACATTGGACCAAAGTCCTATCAACAACACTGGACCGAAGCCATACTATGCTATAAATGCATGATGCACTACGTCATAATCAACATCATCACTAGATCGTCAAGTTGCATAATCATTCATAAAAATTCATCAAAACATCATGGTATTATATCATTATTATACATCACAATTCTTCATATTACATCACAAAACATAATGTTATAGTCACCAAAATACAGCACATCAATTACTCAAGGCATACGGACAACAAGATACCAGACAACATAATAAAAGAAAAGAAATATAAAACTACTGCTCATGCTCGCCCGGTGAAGCAAATCGCTCGCCTGGGTTTCGCCCATCAAAGTATGGGTGAATTCCCTCCTTCATACCAAAACCAGGAGCACTCATTTTTTACCCTCTTCTCACTCCCACTTTCGCCTAGCAAGGCTGGGTAGAAATCGCTTCGCCCAACGAGCTTGGCAGTTCACCCAGCGAAACTGCACGAACCTGCAACTTTTCAGTTGCGATTCTGCACCAGTTCTGACACAAATTTCTTACGACTTCCAATACCCTTCAGTATAAAATCAACACATCAATCACAATTAAATCAACACTACAACAATAATACATCATACCAGACAACATATACATCATTTCCCTTCATTTTACACATCCCCAAATCACAAAATTCATCATAATATCCCTAAAATCCAAAATCCCCTAAAACCCCAACCACATACATACATCTAACTTTATATCAATTATAATGACAAGTGATACTCCTCATACCTTAGACAATTCGATTCCGATCTTCTTCTTGAGTTCTTTCAGAATTTCTTTGAGCCCTAGCTTCCCCTTTTCCTTTTCCTCAGAGCTCCTTTCCCAAAATACGATCGTACCCAATAAATTCTTTTCTTCTCTATTTTCCTTTTTTCCAACTTACCTCTAGGACCCTTAATATGATTTCCCAACTTTATCTTCACTCATTCACCCAACTTTACCATCTTTCCCTAAATGTTCTACTTCTTTAAAATAATAATCATAATAATAAGATATTCACATATTCCACTATTATTACTATCAAAATAATTTTAATAATCATATATTTCTAAATATTTTCAATACCTTTTTAACAACATCAATACCCCACAACACAAATCATCAGGCATCAAATATTTCACCAAGATTCACCGAAATCGTGAATATTTATAATAAATAAATAAAATAAATATTCTAATTATTTTGGGGTATTACAACTCTCCCTCACTTAAAGAATTTTCGTCCTCGAAAATTACCTGAAGGAAACAGAGTCAAATATGACTCCTTCATCTGATCTTCACGTTCCTAAGTCCAACTCTCATCAGCTGGTCCACCCCATAACACCTTCACCAAAGCTATGTTTTTACCCCCATAGTTGTTTCATTTCTCGTCCATCAATCCGCACAGGTAATGTTTCAACAGTCATATTACCTTTCACCTGTACGT